CATGACCAACATCAGGGTGTGCATGGGCTAGGAACTAGGAAGCAAAATGAGCCCCAGGGTGTACCCTGCCAGGCTGCTGGGGCCCTCGGCAGATCCAGGATGGTCAGCACACTCGGACTTGTCAGCTAGGAGGGCCACCTGCAGACAGACGGGGCTCGCACAGGCATGCCCTGGGACCTTCTGTTAAAAAAAAATTAGTGGAGAAGAGGGGGAGAGGAAGGGAGAAAGGGGAACCTATGGCAATGATTGACACATAACCATACACCCCTCTCCAGGGGGAAGAACAACAGAAAACATGGGGGAAGGGAGACAGCGGTCAATGTGAGATAAGAAAATAATAATAAGTTTAATCTATCAAGGGGTTATGAAGGGGGGGGGAGAGGAACTGATCTCAAGGGCTCAATAGGAAGTAAATGTCTAAAAGAGAATAAATGAAGGCAACATATGTACAAACATGCCTGATGCAATCGATGTATGGATTGTAATGAGTTGTAAGAGTCCCCAATAAAGTGATCTTTTAATAAAAAAAATTAAAAAGCGAGTACAGCCTTGGACGTAAACCCTGTGGGAGCTACCCTGCCATGCCCCCCGGGGGTCACGAGAAGCGGGCACCCACTAGAAGGCAATGGGTCTGTCTCAGGGTGAGGACTGCTCCCTTCCCTCCCTGCTTGAGAGAGAAACACCCCTCCTCCCAGCCTCCCCGACCCCCTCACCTCCATGCAGTCCCCCAGGACGAACTCGTAGATGATGAAGGAGATGAGGTTTCCGCTGGTCATCTGCCCCGAGATGACCAGGTGGCCCCCGTAGTACAGAATGCTGACCTGGACCACCAGCAGCGTCAGCTGGGGCAGAGGGAAAGGGCAGTAGGGTCACGAACTCAAACCCCCGGCTGAAATGCAGCGGTGATGCCCTCCCGGGCACCCATCGGCCACTTGCTGCCCCTCCCACACCCCGGGAGCATCTTCCTCCCCAGGAGCATCTTCCTCCCCAGGGCCTCAGCTGGAACAGGCTGAGGACCTGGCTGGAGAACAAGGCGTCCCTTGTTCGTCTCTGGCCCACGCCCCGCCACCCCCAGCTCCCTCCCTCAGCCAAGCAGGAGCTGGTAATCCCTTTCCCAGGGCTGGGCAGAATGCAAGGCTCAGAGAGGTCGTGAGGGCCCTCTAAGACCACACAGCAGAGTGGGATGATGATGGAGGGGCTGTCTTGGGCTGCCTCTCCATCACCACCTCACCTGGCAGTGCACCTGGGAGAGGCACAGAGTCTTGGGACCCATGGCAGCTTGCCTGGGGCCCCCGTGAGCCCCTCTGCTCCTAGCACACCCCCACCCCCACCCCCCACAACACCTGCCAATGCTGGGATCAGAACCAGACCCCAGGAGCCTCCCTGGGCACGCGACGCACTAGACGAGGCGCTAGCTTCCGGGACAGGCTGTGAGGCTTCCAGCCCTTCTCCTCCTTGGCTGGGCAGGGGGCACAGGCAGCCTGCCCCAGGGGCACCCAGAGATCCCAGGGCCCTGGATCCCACGCACAACTCTCTCCCCTAAATTCCACACCACCCTACTCCCGCCCCAGCTTGTCCACCCCCCAGGTGTGACATATGGAAGACCGTGACACATGGGGGCTGAGACTCACTGCTGGGGGTCAGCCTGTGTGTATGTGTGTGGTGTGTGTTTGGGACCTGCGTGGTGTGGTGTATGGTGCATGTGTGGTATCTGGCAGGGCGGGTAGGTGGTGTGTGTGGCTGCGACATGGGACCCTGGTAGGTTCTGTAAAGTTGATCCCCCTCCCCGCCTGCTTGGCTGGGAGACTTCCTCAGGTGAGAGAAAGCCCCTGCCACGCGGGCATTCGTTCTCATGGGGAAAAGTGCATGGAACCAACAGGGAGCTGGGGCCACTGCGGGCCAGGACAGGCAGCTCGGCAAAACCACGCAAGGTCCCAGCCCCTGCCCCCCATTCAAGGTCCCCACACTGGACCCCGGGCCCATGTCCCCAACTCAGGGGCCCCCCTTCATGGTGTCCTGCCCCGGCTGGGGCACCTACCCCGCTGCCCCAGACGTAGTAGGTGTAGGCAGCTGCTTCCTTCCGGTTGAGCTTGTACACCTGCTGCAGCTTCCTCGAGTACACCTGCGCCTCCTCCTCCTCGTTGGCGAAGCTCCGCACAGTTTTCATGGCGCTGATGGTCTCCTCGGCCGTGCTGCTGGCCCGTGCCAGGGCGCTCTGGACCTCTTTGGACAGCCTCTAGGGGCGAGGGGCAGGGGGGACTTCAGGACAGGCAGCCTTGCCAGTGCCACGAGTTCCCGGGCCTCTTCCTGGCTCCTGGCCACGTCATCAGCACCAACAGTACAGACAAGGTCCCCGGGACTGAAGGAGGAGACCCCGCTGCCTTTGCCCCCTCATTTCCTCTAGCAGATTCTGTAGACTCAGACACTGCTTCCCGAAGGGGGGGGTCTGGAGGGGGTGACGGCTCCAGATCCCCAGAGAAGAGGGCTGACCATCAAGCCAGAGCTGGTGCTCAGCAATCCTCTCCAAAGAGGCGTCTCCATACCCGAGCCTGGGCTCACAGCAGGCAGGCCCTGTGCCGGGTCCAGGTTGCACCCAGTGTGAGGATTCCCACATTCTAGGGCAGGGGTGCTCCACCTTCCTAACGCCGCAACCTTTTCAGACAGTTCCGCATGTGGTGGTGACCCCCCAACCATAAAATTATTTTCACTGCTACGTCATCACTTTCATTTTGCTACTGTTATGAAACAGCATGTAAATATCTGATAGGTAGGATGTATTTTCATTGTTACAAATTGAACATCATTAAAGCATAGTGATTCATCACAAAAACAATATGTAATTCTATATTGTGAAATATTTATTTTTACTGAAAGCTCAATGGAATGTTGTCTTGAAGCATGGGGTAGCATGGGTAACAGTCTTCACGCGGGTACTTGTATGTAGCCGTATCTGTATGTGGGCGGACCCGCCTGGAGATGGATAGGAGTGGTGTCTGGTTCCTAAGGCCATCAGAAATATGTGTTGTCCAATGGTGTTAGGCGACCCCTGTGAAAGGGTCCTTTGACCCCCAAAGGGGTCGTGCCCCACAGGTTGAGAACCGCTCCCCTAAGGGGACACCTTATCTACCGCCAGCCTACCTACGCTATAGGAGAGCCCCAGAGGGCTGGCCTGCAGGAGATTCCAGACCTCATGACCAACATCAAGGTGTGCATGGGCTAGGAACTAGGAAGCAAAATGAGCCCCAGGGTGTACCCCGCCAGGCTGCTGGGGCCCTCGGCAGATCCAGGATGGTCAGCACACTCGGACTTGTCAGCTAGGAGGGCCACCTGCAGACAGACGGGGCTCGCACAGGCATGCCCTGGGACCCCCGTGTCACATGCAGGCCCTGGGAGACACGCATCAGGCATCCGGCAGTGCCCTGGCTGTGCCCTGAGATACGTTTGATGTGAACAGTGCATGTGACTCCGTCCCTGTAGGCGCAGGTGGGAGCACACCCATAGGACTCGCTCAGGACCCCGCCTGCTGCAGACGGGAAGTGGGATCTGAGGTGGTGAGATCTGGCTCTCGGTCCTCAGCCTGGGGCTTGGCAGGAAGGGTGGGGCAGGGGAGAAGACCGGAAATTGGCTCTAACTCCCAGGTGTGGATTGACGTTTTTCCCACTCCATGAGGAAAACGACGGCGCTGGAGGGCTGAGGAGAAGGCGCTCTGGAATGGCAGTGGATACGGGGAGTTGATTCCTCCTGGGACAAGGGCAGGTGACAGTCCCAGGAACCAGGAGGAGCTGGGACACTGACATACCCCTGCCCCACCAAGAACAAATCTCCTGCTACAGCCTCCTGCTCACCAGGCCTCCACCTGCCCTCCCCGGAGGGCCTGGGTCTCTGCCAAAGGGACACGGGCCCGCCTGGTTCCCTAAGAGTTAGGGCACCCCTCTACTGGGAGGCAACAGGGTAAGGCGGAAGACTAGCTCTCAGGTATGGGGGTGGGGGGGTGGGGATTAGAGCCCAACCACCTTCTTCTTCCCACATGACACACCATCTAAATATCAGAGTCCTAATGGCCTCACCAAAGGGCCCTCGTGCCGCAGTGAGGCCGGCCTGGGGTTGCTCACATGAGACTGGAGGTTCAGACCTACCAGACGCTCTGAGGGAGAGAGAGGAGCCTGCCTGTTCCTAAGAGATCCACAGTCTTAGGACCCTTAGGGAGCAGTTCTGTTCTGTCCAACTGGGTAGCCAGGAGTGAGACTCAAAGGCTGAGTTTCGTTTGGTTTGGTTGTTCAAGGGCTCTCATGAATTCAGTGTTGGTGGGAAGGTGTGGACTGCAGCCATCAGGCCAGCTGTCATGTCCTGGCTGCTACTATCTGGTGTCCTTGACCCCAGCCGGGATGAGGACAGGGTCCTTGTCTGTCTCGTGGACAGACCCAGTGTCTGGGACAGAACCCTGCATCAAACCCACTTCCGCTGAGCCAAATCAGTCTCACAACAGCCCCACCGGGGGCTTCCAAATCGGGAACTCTTTACAGGAGCAAAGAGCCTCATCTGTCTCCCACAGAGTGGCTGGTGGGTTTGAACCGCCGACCTCAAGGTCAGCAACCCAACATGACCCACAGTGCACTCGGGGCTCCTTTGGGACTGAGCAGCTGCTCAGGCAGCAGTCAGCACTTAAGTGAGTGAGAGCCGCCCACGAGTCCTCCCGAGCCCCTCCCCTCTTCCCTCTTCCCACAGAGCCCCCACTTCCCTTGGGGAGAAGGGGGCGCCCGTGCCTCAGGCCTACCTTGTAGTACTTGCCGTAGATGTCGGACACCATCATGATAATGGGAAAGCCCATGAAGGTGACCAGCGAGAGCTGCCAGGAGAGGCTGAACATGAAGGCCACCACACCCGTGACCTTGACTGTGTTGCGCAGGAAGATGTTGATGTTCTGGGAGACCAGGTCGCTGACCATGGTGGTGTCCGAGGTGAGGCGGGAGATGAGGTCCCCTGGAACAGAGACACCCACCGGGGGACTCAGCCCTCCCCCTCCTTCCAGAGGGGAAAAGAACAGATGTCAAAAGTGATGGGGTTGGGGGGTGACTGTCACGCGGGGCCACTGTCTCTCCAAAGCTGCATCGCCCTGTTTGACGGAGGGAGGAGGTGGCGACTGGGTCGGGTTCTGGTCCCTGGAAGCCCCTGGTGTCTCACTGTCACCACACGCCCAGTGCCAGCCCCTGCGTTGAGAGCTCACGGCTCTCATGGGAAGCACTACTTGTGCTTCTCCGGTTTCACAGAGGAGAAAGGAGGGGCTCAGGGAAGCAGCGGCCTTAGTGCACTCCAGGCAGGCTGGCCTGTCATTCCGAGAGCCAGGACAGGATCTGTCTGCAGCCTGGCCTGGCCTCACCGGGGGCAGCTGGACCTCTGAGGCCACACAAGATGGAAGTCTTGGCCCCTGTGGTTCCCTGAGGGCCTCGGGGGGTGGGGGGGTGGGGGAGGCAGGTGCTTGGGCCTCACAGGGATCTCGGGGCGGCCTGGCTGGGATCCTGCAATGGCCCCAGCTCAGCTGGAACCTCAGCCCACAGGCCAGCTCTCGGGGCTCAGGGGGTACAGCCCAGTCTGAAGGACTGCTGTGGACTTGTCCGCCATCCCCAGGTCCGCCCAGGGACCCACCTGTGCGATTCTCGTCAAAGAAGCTGGTCTCCTGGGACACCAGCGAGCGGAAGAGGCAGTTCCGGAGGCGAATGTTCAGTCTGGCAAATATGAGGGTAAAAATGCCGCCCCGAATACCTGCGGCAAACGAGCTAATTGCAGATAAGAGATGTTATAGCAGCACATCCTTCCAGCAACAGGCCAACACACCCCGGTGTTTCCCCACCCCCTGTGCCGGCCAGCGTGGGGGGGCCCCTCTGGCCCATGGCCCCCTCCAGGCTGGCTGTCGCCTCAGAGCGTCCCTCCAGCCCTAGGCGGAGTTCCCCCAACCCACCCAGGGAGGGTGAAGGGATGAGTGACCCAGCCAGCGACCCCAACACCCAGACGCCAGGGGCAAGGAAGGGAGAACAGGCCCTCTGGGGGCCCACAACATGCACTGGGTCCCCAGGACACTTGGGAGGTGGTTGCCACGGTAATGGGTGGAGGGACAGGCCACAGGGGCCATTTCCCAGGTCTCAGGCCAGTCCCCCACCCCACTGGGACCTGGGGCAGGGGGCTGAGGCCAGACGGGGGCTGGGAGTGGCTACCTGCCGATGGCCAGCAGACACATGATGACCACAGCCGTGCTGAACTGGTCCATGCTCTTCTGGATGACGATGCTGTCGATGGCCCGGCCCGTGTAGTACGGGAGGAAGGTCTCACCTGGGGAGAGACATGCATGCTGGGGCCGAGGGCACCAGCCCCAGTCTCCCAGGGCACACTGGAGCCCTGCGCTCACTCCATGGGGGCTGTTTTCAGGGTTGGGCTTTTGTTTGGGCCCTAACATGTGTCCCCGGGATGGTTTCCACCCAGCTCTGTTTTTTGTGTGTGTGTATATGTTGCAGGGCTACTTCACCCGAAGGACGCCCCTCTGGGAGGCGTCTCCGGGAGGCTTGGCAGCGGAGTGGCACAGCCAACACCCAACACCCGTGTGAGGTGGGGTCCCCACCCTGGGCATTTCCCACTCATCCAGTAGGAAGGAAGGAAGGAGCTGCTAAGCCAAGGTCATCATTCAAACCCACCGGAGAGATACAGGGCTCCCCGTTCCCTGACACATTCCCGGCCTCTGAAAGCCCAAGGGGACAGCTCAGCTCTGTCCTAGAGGGTCTCCCTGATAGTGGGCTTGGTTGTCTCGGGTTTGGGTGGGCAGGCTATGAAGGAGCCCTGGTGGTGCGCAGGCTAAGCGCTCGGCTGCGGGTGGTCAGCGGGGTGCACCGAGCAGCTAGTTCTGTGGCTGGAACAGGAGACAGTGCCTCTCTGTAAAGATGATGGCCTGGGAGAATCTAGGGGGCAGTTCTGCTGTGTCCCACGGGGTCACTATGAGTTGGGTTCCTTCCCTGAGCCACACCCCCACCCCTGGTTTCTCAAGGCCGATGGGTGAGGAGGCACTTTGCTGGGTCCCCAGCCACCCCTAAGTTACAGATGAGGAGAGCGAGGCAGGGCAGGCCCTTGTGAGAGACAAACGGGCAGTGGCTGCCACAGTGGGAGGGAACACTGTAGGAGTGGTTGTGAGGACGATGCTGGACCGAGCAGCGTCCTGGTCTGTGGTTTTAACAAAGAAACTTCAAACGAGTGGAGTTTGGCTCCCCCCGGGGCAAGGTATACAGTAGACTGACTCACAGCACCCTTGTGGGTCCGCTCCCCATGGAGTCGTTGTGACTCAAGGCGCCTCTGTGGGTCCACTCCCCGTGGAGTCAGTGTGACTCATGGCGGCCCGTGGCTCCGCTCCCGTGGAGTCGGTGTGACTCATGGTGCACCCTGTGGGTCCCTCACCATGAGTTAGTGTGACTCAGGGTGCCCCTGTGGGTTTCCGAGACTGTAACTGTTTACAGGAGCAGAAAGCGCAGTCTTCCAGCAGGTGCTCACTACAGATCAGTGAGAGAATCTCAACTCATGGCTGGGAGCCACCTTACAGGACGGTAAAGGGCTCAAAATGTTGAGTTGGCAGTCAGCACCCCAATGGGCAAGCCCCCACATGCCCGCGGCCCCTGTGAGTTATAACTGACTCAATTGCAGTGCTTGCGAACCCGGGCCCTGCTGCCCGGTGGCGAGATCTTTCGTGGGGCACTGGTGCCCTCTGCTGGTGCTTCGCATGGAGGCTACCAGGTAGCCGTGTGGAGCGTCTGAGTCCCCCAGGGGAGCTTGCTCCATCTAGCTAAAGTCCTGCCTCAATTTACACACAGGGAAGAAAAGGACACCAGTCGGTTTCCAGCCAGGACTGAGGGTGAGAACAAGCAGTTTTTGAGTCCTTGGCTGGGCACTGAGCATGCCATGCAGACCCGCTGTCTGTCGAATCTGCCCAGGAACTGGGGGAAAAACACACCCGGTCAGCAAGAACTGTGGACGCCCGGTGATCTCAGGAGTAGCATACCATCCACAGCCTGTGGTATTGAAGGAAGACGTCCAAGCTGCACTGGTGAAAACCAAGGCTCCGGGAATTGACGGAATTCCAGTGAAATGTCCCAAAGGACCTTGTCCACGGCAAACTACCTGGCCAACGGCTGGAGGAGATCCTTATCTGTACTCCTTCTGAAGTGGGGCGAGCCAACAGAATGCAGCAGGGCTGGGATGTGCAAATCCAACGGTGAGGGCCACGGCGTCCGTCCGGTGGAGCGGGCACGGGGACTGATGATGGTGACGATGGTGCAGGACAGAGCAACGCCCTGCTTAGCTGTCCACGCTGTCACCAAGAGTCGGAGCGGATCTGAGGGCAACTCAAAGCCACGGCACAAATGGTGAATGATTCACCTCTGGCGACTGGGAGAGACTGGGTCACAGGAGACAGCTGGCTACCACTGGAAGGAAGCCTGTAGACCAGGAAGGAATGGCTGATGGGACACGGGAGACAACCCAAGCCCTCACGGTCTCCTGGCAAGTCCAGCTCTGGGTTGGGTACTGGACCTGGGCTGAGTCAGGCCTGGTTCCTGCCTCGGTGGGGGAAGCTGGGGGCTAGCTGAGTGCTTTTCATGTCATCTGTATGACAGTCCAGGGGCAAATGGTCACAGAGGTGTATCGGAGAAGGCTCCCCGGGGCCCTTGGGCTTTGAAGCAGAACAGGGGCATCTGGCGGAACGGAACGGGAAGAGGTCATCGCAACACTCCCCCCAAGCCCACACCACACCCGGAGCTGTGCCGATTCTGACTCACAGGGACCCTGGAGGGCTGAGCAGAACTGTCCCCTGGGGTTTCCAAGGTGCTACAACTTTCCGAGTGCGGTGAGCCTCGTCTTTCTTCTGCAGAGCGGCTGATGGGTTTGAACTGCCCACCTGTAGGTTAGCAGCTGAGAATTTGACCACTGTGCCTCTGGGCTCCTTCCAAGGCCTCTGGGCACTTCCTGTGCGTCAAGAGCCATCTGAGGAGCCACCTTCCTGTGGACACGTTGACCCTCAGTCACACATTGCAAGGGGTGCTGTTAATGTGCCCACTTTAGAATAAAGGAAGCTGAGGCTTACAGCAACTTGTTCCAAGTCGTACAGCCATTTAGGGGCCGGGACCGAGGGGATGCAGGGAGGGCAATAAGCCGGAAGAGGAGCTGTGGGACTAGCCAGCCCTCGGTTGACCCCAGCTCTCTGAGAACTTTCTGGGTTTGTAACCAGCCCTGGCCTCTGGCCCTGGGAGGGAAGGATTCACAAAGTCCTAACAGCTGGTGTTCCTGAGCACTTACTGATTCTATTTGTGGTAGCTACATGATTTCAGGTCAACTTGGTAAATTAAGAATGCAGGGGTGGAGTCTAGCCTGTCAATCAGGTCACAGGCTGGTGACCCCTCCGTATGGGCATGGCCTTCTCATGAGGATGCTGGCACTTCTCTTCCTCCCTGGAGGCGGGACACTCTCTGCTACACATTCCTGTTGGATAAGCCACACTGATGGCAGCCAGAGCCCTGGGGATGTGTCCACCGCCATTGGACTCACAGGATTTTCCACCCACCGGCCTGTGATCTTCCTGCATTCAGCATTGTTGCATGTGCTGCGTGAGTCTGAAGAGGAACTCATGGGCTAATATCGAACTTACAGACTTGATCTGGACTGAACTGGGATGTTTTATTGATGTATAATTACTTCCTGATATAAAGTTCTCTCTTACATATACATGAGTGTCTCTGGATTTGTTTCTTTGGTCAACCTGGTCTAACACACTCTATCCAAGGTAAACTCTATCCAAGGCCAACGAGTCCATTCTGACCCATCGTGACCCTAGTGGACAGAGGAGAAATGCTCCTTAGGAGTTTGAGGCTGTAAATCTCCACAGGAGCAGACAGCTTCATCTTGCTTCTGCAGAGAAGCTGGTGGATTTGAACCGCCAGCCTTGAGATCAACAGCCCAGTGCTTCTCCCACGGCACTGTTGGGCTCATTCACGCTTTAGGATGCTACAAAATTAGAGCTCTAGTGAAACAAGCTTGGGAACATGCAGCACCAGTCAGCTGGGGAAGGAACTGGACCTGGTATTTGGACCCAGGCCTTAACGACCCAGGGACCCATGGAGTTTCCCCACTCATATTGCTGGAGTGGGCTTTTCAAAGCGTTCAGACCAGGTGTACCAAAAGAATATAGGTTATGCCAAAAAAAAAAAAAAAAAGAAAGAAAACATCTTACACAAGCCCGATCACACTGGCACCTGTGCGTAGGGGATGAAAATAAAAGTTTGGTCAGACAATACTGAGCCCAACCACTGGCAAGAGGCTCTGGGACGTTCTATTTCAGACTAGACTAGACAACTCACTACAAAAACTTTGTCTCACCTCCACATCCATGCCCGTTGCTGGGTGCAGTCCTGGTGTGACTCCAGTGGACAGCGTGGAGCTGCCCCGCAGGATTCTAGATGGCCACCTTTCTTTAATAATGAGCCTGCTACAGAGACACACAAAATCCCACACCGCCCAGGTTTCACCCAGGTAGCATCAGCAGCACCGATGAAACGGTATAAGTTGTGCTGCACTTTCCGCTCTGCTGGCCTGAGTTGCTTGTGCCCGTCTTCGTTGTCATCGACATAAACTCACTTGACCCTCATGGTTCCCACCTAAACATCCAGGTTGCCATGGCCAGGCTGACCCCACCGCCACCGGGATGGATCCTCCAGGGGCACAGTGTTCTGCTGGTTAAGCTAAACTTGAGTTTGGCTTCACGAAGATTTCAGGTGATTTGTTTTTTTTGGTTTAAAAATGGTCTCCAGGGGCAATATTTTTTTTGGGGGGGTGTTCATCCAGCTTCCACGGCCCCAGGAAGTCTGGGTTCCAAAAAATGGTTGAAATTCATGTTCTGCCTTTCCCCCCTTTTGATCAGGATGCTGCCGCAGAATCTTTGATCGCAATGTTCTCTGGGTTGCAATCCTTTGGGAACCAGATCGCTGGGCCTTTTTCCCTCGGAGCCACCGGGGTGGGGGAGCCACGGGGTGGGTGGCTGTGGGTGTTTCAGTGTGGCGCTCCTTCTGAACTGTGTCCAGATGAGGTATTCGTGGTCAGATTAAAAAGACGGGGAACCACTCCAGAGTTCCCCAACAGGAGACCAACAAAAGCAGATATGGTTACAAGCACACAGCTGTGTGACAGGTGAGGCGCCGATCGGTGGGGATACGGCCCAGATGGTGCTGGGTGAGAGAGAAAGCAGGGCGCCCAGCAGAGAACCGCGTGTGGAAGAGGGAGACTCGGGCACCCTTATTTGCCCATCACTGCATGGAGGGAAGACTCTGGGTAGCTTCCTGCCTGCTCGGAGGTTTCTAGAACGTTTGTCTCCAGCTAGTCCAGGAAGTCCTGGCAAAGGCACCCCGGTGGCACCACAGTTAAGCACCAGGCTGCCAGCCTGAATGGTGGGCAGTGCAAACGCACTCGCCCATGCTCTTCCTGGGAAGATTAACCCGACCCAGGCCTCTGGAGTCGATTCCAATTCACCGGGACCCTAAAGGACAGAGTAGATGGGCACCTTAGGGTTTCCGAGAGCGCAAATTGTTAAGGACAGGCAGATGGCCTCGTTTTTCCTCCAGCCGTTGGCTGGTGGCTTTGAACCATGGACCTTGTGGTTAGTGACCGGGCACCTACCTCACAGCACCACCAGGGCCCCTTCTGTAAAGACGACAGCTGGGGAAACCCAACAGGGCAGTTCTCCTCTATTACCTGGAGTCTCTGAGGGTTGGAATCGACCCGTCGGCGAGGAACACCACCAAGGCCCTGGGCAGGGAGGGATCCGGCGCCATTGGGTACAGAATTAGGAGGGAATGTTCCCACGGTTGGCCTTTTCCACCCATTTGATTTGGGAACGAGTCAGGGTAACCTGCCCCTAACCATCATCACAGGTCCAGTAGGTGCAATTGTGCAGCGATAATAAGTAAAGATTATATATAGTACAGTCATAGAGAGCATGAGAGGTAGAAGAAATAACGGAGTCAGACACATTTCATGGTAGCATGCTCACCTCCGCCCCACTCGGTGGTCCATGTGAGAATGTGGAAGGTGGGAATTACAGGAGTGAGCGAGGAAGGTTTATTACTAACTGAGGCTTATATCTCTTTTGGGGGTGTGCAAGCCCCCTAATTACAGGTAAGGACATACGTCACAGGAAGGGGTTGCACTATGGGTTATACAGTAATGAGAGGGGGACAATCTAGGGGTACACACGCAATGGGAAGGGGAGGGATTGGGGGTACACATGTGACAAGAAGGGCGGATCCTAGATACAGGGAGGTCGCCTAACGTTGGATGTCACTCAGCAGGTTTGACCTGTTCTCTGGCTCGCCATAGAAACCATTATCTGTAGGGTGTGGGCCCCACCTACAGTGGACCAGACTGATGTCTGAATGCCTTCAGAGTGAAGTAACCCAATGTCCTGAACAGCAGGGAGTGGGCTCTACCTGTGATGGGACCAGACAGTAGTCTGAAGGCTGAATGCATCTGACCTCTCACCACGTGCTGGCAAAGAGCCTCTAATGTGTGACCTATCTTAGGGGGAGACAAAGCTGGGGGAAAGTCTTTTTACATCCCACAGGAACAACGGGATCGAAACATTCAAAATGCGCGTGGACTTACCCAGAGCGGCCACGATGAGGAAGAAGGAGGCGGCTACCAGGAAGGCCATGTCGGGCCTGGTGTAGGACAGCAGCTTCTGCAGGGTGGCTCCCGATGCCTGCTCGGCAAAGCCCTCCGCCTCTGGGCCGGCCCCGGGCTCCAGGGACTCTGCGTCCGGCTGCACTGTGGACAGCAGCCACCAGAGCAGGAAGGAGGCGGCCAGCGAGACGTAGGTCCACACGAAGAGGGCCCAGAAGCACGGGTCCTGGATGGGCCGGCGCACCTCGGAGAAGAGCAGCAGCTTGACCATGGCGAAGATGCCCACGCCCAGGCACACGAGGGTGATGACCGGCCAGGAGGCCCGCAGCCGCTGGGGGCCCAGCGAGCTGTTCTTGGCCACGCCGATGGCGGCTCCCAGCAGCAGGCAGCCGCGGTAGAGGCAGGCTGCCCACAGGTCCAGCACAGAGTCGAAGACGTTGAAGTCACGGATGTCCTCCAGCAGGCTGCGGTGTCGGTGGCTGAGGGCGTAGATGGCCGTGGTCACGCTCACGTCCATGCTCATGAAGGCCAACGTTGCTGCCACCGCCTTCCACAGCCGCATCCTGCCGACACGGGTGGGGGCGGGGGTGACTCTAGTTCTTCTGAGGGGGCTGGGCCATCATCCTCCGAGCAGGGCCAGACCTGTGGGAGAAGCAGGAGCAAGGGTCAGAGGAGGGGCACCGGCCACGGCACTCCGAGGTTCCTCCTGGAAACAGAAATCTTAAGCCCCGGCTGTGCGCTGGACGCCACTCATGTAGGTTGGGGACTGAACAGGCTCCCAGGGACTGTGTGGGCGGATAAGACCTTGTTCCTGGGGGAGAACTAACAAGCATCACACAGACATTGGGAACCACAATGGCTGTCAGGAGCCCCCATGGCACTGTGGGTTAAGCTGCTAACTGCGAGGTCGGTGGTTCAAACCCATGTGCCACTCTGTGGGAGCCAGCGGAGCCAGTCAGCTGTGGTAAAGCCAGACCGGCGTGGAAACCCTCAGGAGCAGCTCTGCTCTGTCCAGCAGGGTGGAGAGGAGCTGGGATCAACCTGCAGGCAGTGGGGGTCTTCTGTTCAGAGGTAAGGGTTATGGGTGCCATCAGAGTATGATGCAGGAGACCTGGGTGAATGGGATTCTGGGGAGGCGGGCCAGCAAGAGCTCCCTCGGAGAAGAAACATCTGACCAAGCAGGGGCCAGGCGTGAGCCCCATGTGTGTGAAGAAGGGGAGGAGGTCCCTGGAGGGCGGAGAGCAGAAGTCAGGCGGCAGGTCTGCAGGGCCTGGCAGTCACAGCAAGGCTTTGGTAAGCACAAACCACACTTTGTGTGGAGTGATCCTCTAAAGCAGGGGTGTCAAACTGGTGGCCCGTAGGCCGCATGCGACCCCTGAGGTAATTTTGTGGCCCACGATGCTCTGAAATAAAATGTAACGAGGGAATTGCGTATACCGTATTGCCTCGATCTCCTCTAAGTGCTATTTTCTTCATAACAATATTTTCTATTTTCATTTTATTTCAGAGCATCGTGGGCCACAAAAAATTGCCTCAGGGGCCACCAGTTTGACACCCCTGCTCTAACGGCATTTGTACCTGCTTAGAAATTTCCAGAATCTTCTTCCTTGAGTCAAGTCTGCTTGTCCAAAGCCACTGTGGCCCTGCCACCCCCGCCCACCCACCCACCTACTGCCCTTCAGGGCTCCGGCAGAGGCTGGGAGAGCCTGGGACCTGGAGGGGCACCCCAGGCAGTCCGGAGCAAGGCTTGTCTGGGAGCTGGGACATGTGTGCCCGAATGGCCCCTCCCCTTTCACGCCTGAAGACTTCATTGTTCCAACTACAAAACAGGCAAAGCTCTGGTGCCACCAAGTGGTGGGGAGGGGCTTGGGAGGGGTGACACAGTGGTGACAGTGGAGGGGGGCCCTTGGAGAACCCTACCCCACAGCTCTGGTCTGATCAAAACCCTACACAACCCCATGAGGCCTGTGTCTCCCATTTTTCAGGTGGGGGCACTGAGGTACCCAATCTCACTCCCAGTAGTCAATTATGACTTATAGCGGCTCTATAGGAAAGAGCGGAACTGCCCCTGTGGGATTCCGAGACTGCAAATCTTTTTTTAAAAATCATTTTATTGGGGGCTCATACAACTCTTATCACAATCCATCCATCCATTGTGTCAAGCACATTTGTACATTTGTTGCCCTCATCATTCTCAAAACATATGCTCTCCACTTAAGCCCCTGGCATCAGCTCATTTTTCCCCCTCCCTCCCTGCTTCCCCCTCCCTCATGAACCCTTGATAATTTGTAATTATTATTTTGTCATATCTTACACTGTACGACATCTCTCTTCACCCACTTTTCTGTTGTCCGTCCCCAAGGGAGGAGGTTATATGCAGATCCTTTAAATTGGTTCCCCCTTTAAACCCCCTCCCTGCCTCCACCCTCCCTGTATCGCCACTCTCACCACTGGTCCTGAAGGGATCATCCACCCTGGATTCCCTGTGTTTCCAGTTCCTATCTGTACTAGTGTACATCCTCTGGTCTAGCCAGATTTGTAAGGTAGAATTGGGATCATGATAGTGGGGGGTGGGGAGAAGCATTTAAGAACTAGAGGAAAGTTGTATGTTTCATCATTGCTACACCTTCAAGCCTTTAAGACCCCAGAAGCTATATCTTTTGATAGCCATGCACCATCAGCTTTCTTCACCACATTTGCTTATGCACCCGCTTTGTCTACAGCGATTGTGTCGGGAAGGTGAGCATCATGGAATGCCAGTTTAATAGAACAAAATATTCTTGCATTGAAGGAGTACTTGAGTGGAAGCCCAATGTCTATCTGCTACCTTAATACTAAATGTATAAATATATGCACATAGATCTATTTCCCTATCATATATAAATATATTTACATATGTACATACCTGTATTTAGACCTCTATTTAGACCCTTTGCCGCCTAGCTCTTTCCTCTATTTCCTTTTACTTTCCTCTTGTCCCACTATCATACTCAGCCTTCATTTGGGTTTCAGTAATTCCTCTTGGTTACATTGCCTTTGATCAATCCCTACCAGGGCTCCTACACCCTCCTCTCCACCAATTTTGGATCACTTGTTGTTCCCTTGTCCCTGGGTTGGTTAACACCACTTCCTTTCCCCCACCTCCCCCTCTCCCATGTCCTCCTGGAGCCATCGGTCCCATTGGTTTCTCCTCCAGATTGTTTATCCAGCCTATTTTATCTAGACAGACCTTCAGAGATAATAATATGCACCCAAAAAAACAAGACAGAGAAAGACAAAGCAACAAAAGAAAACAAAACGACAAAACACAATGACAAAAAAAGAAAAGCCTGTAAATAGTTCAAGGTCTGCTTGTTGACCTTTAGAGTGTTTTTCTGGGACTGCAAATCTTTACAGGAGCAGAAAGCCTCAACACTGTCCCATGGAGCACCTGGTGGTTTTGAACTGCTGACTTTACAGTTAGCAACCCAAAATGTAAACTGCTATGCTACTGAGGGACAGAGGAGGGAAATCCCTCCTCACCCAGATCACTCTGCCCACAAAAGCCCAGACTCAGGACTGAAGGAACCATGGGCCGGCACTCTGCACCCAGACAGCTTATTTCACCCTCCCCACGGCTTTCCGGATGCAGCACTGACACCCTCTCCACGTGTGCCCCGGCTCTCACAGGCCCCACTGGCAGACCCTGAGCGAGGGCATCTTCCCACTGGCAGACCCTGAGCGAGGGCATCTTCCACGACAACAGGCGTCATCAGGGAGGTGGGCGGCATGCTCGGTCAGAGTGGCTCAGACGAGCAGCAGAAAGGACGTTGCCGCTGTGGGCCTGGCATTCTAAGTGACTCGGGTGTACGAGAACCCTCACAAGACCCCGGGGTAGGCCCTCCATGGTCCCATGTTACAGCCGAGGAGACTGAGGCCCTGAGTGGCCTCGGGACCTGCCCCAGGTCAGGCAGAGGGAAAGTAGCAGAGCTGGGTGTCTAGCCTGGGTGTCTAGCCTGTGTTCTCAGCGCCCCAGCCCCGACCTTCCCAAACAACCTCTGCATGAGTAAGCAGCTCCCCCTGACAGTGCCGAGGAGGGGTCCCCGAGGTGCAAGGCGGGCGGGATGTGGGCATCCCCCAGCTTGTATGCTGGCTGTCCCCAGGTGCCCCCTCTCCCGAGGTGCAGCCTCAGACTGTCCCAGAACAGACAGTCCCTTGGGGGGGAGGGCACGTGGGGGCAGGGGCCCCCTGGACAGCCTCGGCTGGCCTTCTGCTCCGGGGTGGCATGGAGCCGCTCCCGAGGCTGTCTGCTGCAATGCAGAGGCCTGGGGATTGAGTGGGAGAACTCAGTTGGAGCCGGGATGGAAACTCTTGGCCCTGTGCCACTCAACCTCCTGGCCAACCTACTGCCGTGCCATGCCGCTGCCCTAGGTGCTGCCAGCTACCGCGGCTGCTGCCCAGCCCCCGGAGGGCACCGGGGAGCATGGCTAGGGTCAGAAGTGGGACAGGAGGCAGCTCAAGGGAGGGTTGGCTGGCTCTCCCCATGGCCCCCATGGCCCCTAACCCAAGCCCCTGCGTGGTCCCACCCACACCCCTCCACCCCAAGTGTGGAGTCATGCTTTGTTAGTTGCCCACCTGGACACCCCAACTGCTCAGCTTCAATCAAATCCACAAAATTGAAACCCCAGCCTCACACATGTTTCCAGATGGGAAAACTGGGGCTCACAAAGGCAGAGTGGGGAGGCTTGTCCAGGGCCCCTCACTCAGGGAGCTGTCCCTAAGCCCTGAGTCAGACTCCGGGGAGGGAGCAGAAGCCAATACTGGCAACACTCCAGGAGGGGAGGGCACCCCAATAGTTTTCAGTTGCAGAGCAGAGGGTGGGGAAGAGATCACCGCCAAGCCGGAGGGCAGGGTTATTTAGAGGCACATCCTGGCTCCCCACCCCCCAGCTTAGAGGACGTAGCAGGCTAGACCAGGTGGAGCTGGAGGGCAAACCATGGCCATGTGGGTCCAAAGCAGCCCAGTCTATGGCCGGGTGTGTCCCAGGATGCTAAGGACAGCAGAGGATGAGCAGGTGACCCCATCTCAACTGGGGGTCCTGATAAAGGCTTTTCCTCCAGCTAAAGGGGGTATAATGTGGGGCCACTGCAACTGCAGGACAGGACCGTCTGGCACCACCCCAAGATCCTTACTACAACCACAGCTGCTACTGCGGGGTGGGGGTGGGGGGCAGTGTCAGTGCTGCAAGCACCTGGCAATGTGCTGGATACCTGGGACACTTGCTGGGTTCATCTTGCCACCATGAGCCCTGGCAGGTCCTCACACCCATTTCACTGATGAAGAGCCTGAGGTTGGAGAGTGGGTGCTAAGCACCATGAATTCTTGGTGGGCCCGGGCTCTGCAGAGACTCCAAGGGCCTCGGTGGCTCAAGTGACCTCATCTGACCCTCTGGCCCTTTTCCTGGAGGTGAGCTTTCTCCAAGGGATGGGTACCACAGCCCCTGTCACAAGGCCCACTGAAAGCTTGCTCAGCAGACCCCCGGGGTCAGTTCAGTGGGGGCTGGGCCTCAGGGTTTCTGGAGCCAGGGACCTGGCTGTGCTCAAACCCACCCCCACTCTTACTGAGCACTCCATGCTCCACCTGAGGGGGTGCTTCCCTGGCCCTGCCCCCACTCTGGGACTGGGATCCAGGTAACTGGGCTGAGGAGAGGGAAAGTGGTCCCTGTGAGATGCTTCTCTCGGTGCCTGGCACCTGTCCCTTCTTTCCAGGGGGTGGGACTGAAAGATAAGCCGGCAGGGCAGCTTACAGGTAGGGTAACCCACGCTGGGCCTGGGAGGGGGGACCCTGTGTAAACAGAGATCCAAAAATAAGGCTGTGGGTGGCCTCAGACCTAATTGCTACTGGGTGCGGGGTACCGGCTCACTGATGGACCAGGAGGGCTGAGGGCCAGGGAGTTGCGAAGCTCGGCAGACCAGGGGCCCTCTCTTCCCCTCCCACAGCCAGGTGCTGGGCATCGCTGGGCATGTCCGCTGTGGGGGTGAGCTCTGTCAAATGAGGGCCAGCCTCCCCAGGGCCTGCTTTAACCCTTTCAAGGCTCCCCTGGGGCGCAGGCTCCTGAGGAGTTAAAAAATGCTCCTAAGACAAGCCACGGTGTTGGGGGCTGAGACCCGGGGTGCGGGGGCGCGAGCCGAGAGCGCTTCAGGGCGGCTCCCATCTTCAGGAAAGGCGCCTGCTCCCCACGCCGGCCCAGGGGTGCCCTGGCTCTCCCAGCCCGTGCCAGCTCCGTGCCGTGCCTCGGATCGGTGGTCGGGGAGGCAGTCGCGCCCTTACCTGTCACCTGTCCCCAGGTGAGCCGTGGGAAGGGGGATGCAGTGGGCTGGGGTTGTCGGGGTCGCAGGCTCCGCGCCGCTCATTGGAAACCGCACCGGACGCCGCGCTCGCTCGGCTCCTTCCTCCCCGCCTCCCGCCGGCGCTGCGCCGCTGCAAGGTCGG